TCTACAATCAATTGCTATTTTATTGTGGACTCTATTATCTACCTCGTCTCCAAACCCTGATGGTTATTTTTTTTCCTGACTGGGAAGACGTTGAGTGATTTTATGAGCCTTTTTACTACTTTTATTTTGTAAGTGCATACAATAAAGTTATCATTTTACTTATACAGCTATACACTATGTTTTGTTTCTGTGCTTTGTCCTAAGCTTCCATTCTGGAATAGGAGAAGAAAAGAAGCACTTGAAGAGATTTTGTATACCCCGCCTTTTTTATCCTTACGTTTGTGAGTGCATTTTTTTTTTTATATATATATTTTATCATTAGTTTTTATCTACACTATTGAGGTCTCCCTTTGTTTTTATATTTTTAGGTTGTGCATTTTTTGTATATTAAACTAGTTCATGGATTGCAGGATAAAACTTACAAGGAAAAGTTAAAGGAACTTAACATGTATATCTTGGAGGAAAGACGAGACAGGGGGGATATGATAGAAACACTTAAATACATAAAGGAAATCAACACAGTAAAGGACGAGACTATATTTAAAAGAAGAAAAACTACAACAACAAAAGGACATAAATTAGAGGGGCTAAGGTTTAAAAATAATATCCAGAAGTATTACTTTACTGAGAGGGTAGTGGGTGCATGGAATAGGCTTCCAGCTGAAGTGGTAGAGGTTAACACAGTAAAGGAGTTTAAGCATTAGTGGGATATGCATTAGGCTATCCTAACTATAAGATAAGGCCAGGGACTAATGAAAGTATTTTTAAAAAAATTGGGTAGACTAGATGTGTCGAATAGTTCTCATCTGCAGTCACATTATATGTTTCTATATGACCCGAGAGCTTAACATCTCTAGTCAAAACATTATTTGAATGAATGTTAAGGGATATTATTCAATAATTAATTTGGAAAAATATAATTAGTAGGAATTGACATGGTTTAATAAAAGACAGGCCACGTCAAATAATCCCAATTGCATTCTATAAAAAAGTAAGAGAAATATAGATCAGGGGCTTGCATTGGAATTGAAATCAATTGGTTTAGATACCAAATCGTGTTTTTGGAGATTGTCTTTAAGATAGCGTGCAGAGAGTAGTTTTAAATGGAACATTTTCATATTGGACAAAAGTAGTAAATGAAATAGCCCAGGGTTCTGCACTGGATCTACTTCTCCTTAATCTATTTATAAATGACCTTTATATGTGAATTGAAAGTAAAGTGTTGGTGTTTGCAGATGACACAAAACTTGGCAAGATAATATAGTCTGAACATCATTTTACTACTCTATAAATGGATTTTAATAAATTGGGAGACTGGGCAGGCAAGTGGCAGATGAGATTCAATATAGATAAATGCAAAGTTATGAATTTTGGAATAAGGAAATGACAAACAACATATACATTAAATAAGGTTAGGGTTAGAGATAACATTATATGAAAATGACTTGGATTTCATTATAGACTGCAAACTAGGCAACACTGTGCATTGTTGGCATCTACCAAAGAGCTAGTAAAGTGCTCTTTTGCAAAAAAGGGATATAGATTACAATGTTCAAAACATATTTGTGCCTCTTTTTAATTCAATGGTTAGCTCTCACCTTGAATATGTGGTGCAGTTTTGGGCAGTAGTTTTAAAAAATTATATTGAAAAATTAGAAACAAGGCACAAGCTTCAAAATTAAAACAGGGATTAAACACATTAATGTTGGAAGGCTACAAAAACTTCATTTTCTCATGGATTCTTAGTGGGAATTTAATAGCACTATACACATTTACACAGGGTCAGTACAAACTGCTGCGTGCTGAGTGCTGACCTGTGCATTAGCAGGAATATATGACAAACAACTAGGTCATTCAATAAGGATGGAAGAAATGTGTTTTGCTTTATATAAATATAGAATAAGTTATTAGAAAGCAATAGATAAGAGACCAAATCTACCAGAAACCGAAAACCGAAAAGATGGAATGTCAAGATCTGTACTTTTATAAAAACACTATGTGTTTGAAAATTATTCCATTTATAAAGCACCTCTCATTTGTATCATTGCAGAGTTAGGGCAGTGCTCTTTATATTATGAATTAATAGATGTAATTTAAAAATATACTATAAAAGTAAAACTCATAAAAGTAAATTATAAGTGAAACATATATAAAAAGTATACAGCTAATAAAAAGAATAAGATACCCAAGAGTTTACTTCTTGGGATCTATACACCAGTGTAGACACTCCAGTAGTGTCCAAAGAGCTTAACCCTAACAATAATAACACAGGAAAGATTCACCTAATCCACAATAAAGTGGATGAGGTAAAAACTGGAAAGATGTAATAAGTATCCTGAGGTAAATGGGATCATAGTCCGCTCTGCATGCACCAATACATACACAAACAACATATATCCCCAGTACAAATGAAATATACTACCCGTGTAAGGCTATTCCTCTACCTAATATTGATAATGGATAACTATTAGATTATCCAGACAGGTGCTTAAAATATTAATATACAAGCTTTATTAATTAGGTTTATTTGTAGGACTTATGATAACCCTTTGTAGGTATGTAGTGCACTGGAAAATAAACCAGTGTACCAAGGTAGACAAGGGGTTAAACCATAGTATTAAACCAGATACTGATGAAAGTTTGGATTACACAATGAAACGTCAATCTTCTTGTACTGAGCAATAAAAGTTAAAGGACCACTATAGTGCCAGAAAAACAAACTTGTTTTCCTGGCACTATGGGGTCTTTAGGTCCCCCCACCATCAGGGTCCCAATATCGCCAGGCTGAAGGGGCTAAACTCTTACCTTTCGCCAGAGCCGGGCTCCCTCGGTGCTGGGGAACTCTCCTCCCTCTCCCGATGTCCGCTTTAAATTAGCATGCGCAGCAAGAGCTGCACGCGCATGCTAATGCTTTCCTATGGACATCAGCATCTTCTCACTGTGATTTTTACAGTGAGAAGCGCAGAAGCACCTCTAGCGGCTGTCAATGAGACAGCCACTAGAGGCTAGATTAACCCTAGTGTAAACATAGCAGTTTCTCTGAAACTGCTATGTTTACAGCTGCAGGGTTAACCCTAAATGGACCTTGCACCCAGACCACTTCATAGAGCTGAAGTGGCCTGGGTGCCTATAGTGGTCCTTTAAGTTTTACTTTATTAATTGGAGTGGTATCTACACTACGTTGAATCTATAAATGAGGACAAGTACCTGGCACTTGCACCAGTAATTTGGAGTGCTAGACTATTTTTCTGTTTTATATATATATATATATATATATATATATATATATATATATATATACACCTATAATTTCATTCTATGTATATCTCCTTAATGACTGTGGACGTACTCGCTGTCAGGCAGTCCCCCAGGATGCTAAAAAGTAAAAAAAAAAATATGTATATATATTTCAAAACACCATAAAACATGTACATGGGGTACATTGTTATACTTGGGAGACTTCGCTGAACACAAATATGAGTGTTTAAAATAGTAAAACTTATCATGACTATGACATCACCAGTAAAAGTGCAGTTTTAGTGTAAAAAACTGCAAAAAACAATTGGACATACCGAATTTTGAATACCATGGGTTGTCTACTTTTACAAATGGTATGCCATGATGGGGTTAATTTTCATTCCTGGGCTGCTATACGGTCTCAAAGGCAACATGGACCGAGCAAACCAATCAGGCAAATTTCAATGTGCAAACATGAAAAAGGGGAAAGCCCTACATTTGACCTCTGTAAGTTTGCAAAAACCCATACAACCTGTACATTGGGGCCACTGTTGTACTCAGGAGATATTGTTGAATACATATTGGGGTGTTATTTGTCAGTAACACATAACAGGAAATGAGAATTGATGCCTAAAGTACAATGTGAGAGAAAAACACAAAAAAATGACTATTTCTCTCTACATGGACTAAGTTGAATCTGTTGATCTGGCAGGTCATGCTCAATTTCTTGTCAAAATTGGAAAGGGTTAATAACTTATTCTTTCCTATTCAAATAAATGACTTGGGAAGAAGTAGGAATGCAAAGCTGGACTTTAAGAGTGAGAACAGCTACATTAGCAGAAGTCTGTTAAAGCAGATAGCAAATCCTAAAATGATCAGGTACGCTTACCCCCATGACAAGTGGATCCAAATCAGAAAGTCATAATGTAAAAGCAAAATGTTTACTATCCATTTCCATTGGTAATAAGATGGCTAAACATTTATTAATAAGAATCCCATTTATGTAGTAGTCAACAATGTTACACCCAATAGTGTTACTTTACCAAAAGTAGGTCTAGCATTGGATGCTGAGTACTATACGTTTGGTTACCAAAACCAGATTATAGGCCTCATCTCTGAAGAGTACTTAACAGAGAATGAAATTGTCGATCAAATGTTCCATTCCTCCCCATAAGGATTATTCACTATCCTATCTGTATATCCTTTTAACATCAAAGAAGGCTCGTGTAAAATCGAAGAAGCATCGATCACCTTCGATCATCCGCTAAATGAGCAGGAATCACAAGAATATCACGACATAAGAGAAAAGGTAAGTCAACACCAAACTGACCTAGTTGCTATGCTTGAAGAAGCTCATGAGATAAGTCAGCCTGAAATCTTTCCAGGATTTCAGGAAAGACTTGAAGAGCATCTAAAGATTGCTGAGTGGCAACAGCTAAGGGAAATCCTTATGGAATTCCAAGATATTTTCACAAAATATTCCTACGACTGTTAAACTGATACAAATCTACCACCTGTGTTTATCAAACAATATAGACTCCCATTAGCTTCATATGATGGTCTACAAGACATCATTCGTTCACCTATCCGATCCTGGAAATTCTGAAACCTAATGGACAATGGCATTTATGCACTCA